TTCTCTCTTATTATAAGTAATAAGATAACTATATTTGGTATGTGCGTACCTTGCAAGGTCCTCATGCCCGTCAGACAGTTTTCACTTGACCTCGACCTCATTTCATGGATCAGTGAACAAGGTTAAGTTTTGGTGGTCAAGTCCATATCTCAGATACTATAAGCAATAGGTCTAGTATATTCGGTGTATGGAAGGACTGTAAGGTGTACATGTCCAACTGGCAGGTGTCATCTGACCTTGACCTCATTTTCATGGTTCAGTGGTTATAGTTAAGTTTTTGTGTTTTGGTCTGTTTTTCTTATACTGTATGCCATAGGTCTACTATATTTGGTGTATGGAATGATTGTAAGGTGTACATGTCTAGCGAGCAGGTGTCATTTGACCTTGACCTCATTTTCATGGTTCAGTGGTCAAAGTTAAGTTTTTGAGTTTTGGTCTTTTTTTCTAATACTATGTGCAATAGTTCAACTATATTTGGTATGTGCGTACCTTGCAAGGTCCTCATGCCCGTCAGACAGTTTTCACTTGACCTCGACCTCATTTCATGGATCAATGAACAAGGTTAAGTTTTGGTGGTCAAGTCCATATCTCAGATACTATAAGCAATAGGTCTAGTATATTCGGTGTATGGAAGGACTGTAAGGTGTACATGTCCAACTGGCAGGTGTCATCTGACCTTGGCCTCATTTTCATGGTTCAGTGGTTATAGTTAAGTTTTTGTGTTTTGGTCTGTATTTCTTGTACTGTATGCCATAGTTCTACTATATTTGGTGTATGGAATGATTGTAAGGTGTACATGTCTAGTGGGCAGGTGTCATCTGACCTTGACCTCATTTTCATGGTTCAGTGGTCAAAGTTAAGTTTTTTGAGTTTTGGTCTTTTTTCTAATACTATATGCAATAGTTCAACTATATTTGGTGTATGGAAATATTTTATGATCTATTTGGCAGTCACACAGGTTTTATTTAACACTGACCTCATTTTCAAGGTTCATTGCTCAGTGTTAAGTTTTTGTGTTTTGGTCTGTTTTTCTTAAACTATAAGCAATAGGTCAACTATATTTGTTGTATGGAAGAATTGTTAGCTGTACATGCCTGCCTAGCATGGTTCATCTGACCTTGACCTCATTTTCATGGTTCATTGGTCAATGTTAAGGTTACTTGGTTAATGTTAAGTTTATGTGACAGTTGTAATAAAGCTTTATATTTAGGACTATCAACATAATATCAATGATTAGTAAAGAAGGCGAGACATTTCAGCGTGTGCACTCTTGTTTAAAATTGGTCTTCATTGAGGTCCAAAGGGTCCAACATTAAACTTAGTTTGATTTTAACAAAAATTGAATTCTTAGGGTTCTTTGATATGCTAAATCTAAACATGTGTTTAGATTTTTGTCGAGCCTGCGACTTTTGGTCGCAGAAAGCTCGATATAGGGATAGTGATCCGGCGGCGGCGGCGGCTACGGCGGCGGCGGCGGCGGCGTTAGCTAACTTCTTAAAAGCTTTATATTTCAGAAGGTGGAAGACCTGGATGCTTCATACTTTGTATATGGATGCCTCATGTTACGAAGTTTCCGTCAGTCACATGTCCAATGTCCTTGACCTCATTTTCATGGTTCAGTGACTACTTGAAAAAAAAGTTAACATTTTTTGTAATGTTAAATTCTCTCTTATTATAAGTAGTAGGATAACTATATTTGGTATGTGCGTACCTTGCAAGGTCCTCATGCCCGTCAGACAGTTTTCACTTGACCTCGACCTCATTTCATGGATCAGTGAACAAGGTTAAGTTTTGGTGGTCAAGTCCATATCTCAGATACTATAAGCAATAGGTCTAGTATATTCGGTGTATGGAAGGACTGTAAGGTGTACATGTCCAACTGGCAGGTGTCATCTGACCTTGACCTCATTTTCATGGTTCAGTAGTTATAGTTAAGTTTTTGTGTTTTGGTCTGTTTTTCTTATACTGTATGCAATAGTTCTACTATATTTGGTGTATGGAATGATTGTAAGGTGTACATGTCTAGCTGGCAGGTGTCATCTGACCTTGACCTCGTTTTCATGGTTCAGTGGTCAAAGTTAAGTTTTTGAGTTTTGGTCTTTTTTTCTAATACTATATGCCATAGGTCAACTATATTTGGTGTATGGAAATATTTTATGATCTATATGTCAGTCACGCAGGTTTTATATGACCTTGACCTCATTTTCACGGTTCATTGATCAGTGTTAAGTTTTTGTGTTTTGGTCTGTTTTTCTTAAACTAAAAGCAATAGGTCAACTATATTTGTTATATGGAAGAATTGTTAACTGTACATGTCTGCCTGGCACGGTTCATCTGACCTTGACCTCATTTTCATGGTTCATTGGTCAATGTTTAGTTTTCTTGGTTAATGTTAAGTTTATGTGACAGTTGTAATAAAGCTTTATATTTAGGACTATCAACATAATATCAATGATTAGTAAAGAAGGCGAGACATTTCAGTGTGTGCACTCTTGTTGATTATGGGCCCAGTTTTCAAGTTGGTCCAAGATAGGGTCCAGTATTTAAACTTTGTTTGATTTCAACAAAAATTGAATATATGGGGTTCTTTGATATGCTGAATCTAAACATGTATTTAGATTTTTGATTATGGGCCCAGTTTTCAAGTTGGTCCAAATTGGGGTCCAAAATTAAACTTTGTTTGATTTCAACAAAAATTGAATATATGAGGTTCTTTGATATGCTGAATCTAACCATGTATTTAGATTTTTTATTTGTGGGCCCCGCTATCAAATTGGTTCATATTGAGGTCAAAAGGGTCTAAAATTAAACTTTGTTTGATTTCATCAAAAATTGAATTATTGGGGTTCTTTGATATGCCAAATCTAACCGTGTTTTTAGATTTTTAATTTGGGTCCCATTTTTTAAAATTGGTCTTCATTGAGGTCCAAAGGGTCCAAAATTAAACTTAGTTTGATTTTAACAAAAATTGAATTCTTAGGGTTCTTTGATATGCTAAATCTAAACATGTGTTTAGATTTTTGATTATGGGCCCAGTTTTCAAGTTGGTCCAAGTTGGGGTCCAAAATTAAACTTTTTTTGATTTCAACAAAAATTGAATATATGGGGTTCTTTGATATGCTGAATCTAACCATGAATTTAGATTTTTTATTTGTGGGCCCCGCTATCAAATTGGTTCATATTGAGGTCAAAAGGGTCCAAAATTAAACTTTGTTTGATTTCATCAAAAATTGAATTATTGGGGTTCTTTGATATTCCAAATCTAACTGTGTATTTAGTTTTTTAATTTTAAGTCCCGTTTTTTAAATTGGTCTACATTAAGGTCCAAAGGGTCCAAAATTAAACTTAGTTTGATTTTAGCAAAAATTGAATTATTGGGGTTCTTTGATATGCTGAATCTAAACATGTGTTTAGATTTTTGATTATGGGCCCAGTTTTCAAGTTGGTCCAAGATAGGGTCCAGTATTTAAACTTTGTTTGATTTCAACAAAAATTGAATATATGGGGTTCTTTGATATGCTGAATCTAAACATGTATTTAGATTTTTGATTATGGGCCCAGTTTTCAAGTTGGTCCAAATTGGGGTCCAAAATTAAACTTTGTTTGATTTCAACAAAAATTGAATATATGAGGTTCTTTGATATGCTGAATCTAACCATGTATTTAGATTTTTTATTTGTGGGCCCCGCTATCAAATTGGTTCCTATTGAGGTCAAAAGGGTCTAAAATTAAACTTTGTTTGATTTCATCAAAAATTGAATTATTGGGGTTCTTTGATATGCCAAATCTAACCATGTTTTTAGATTTTTAATTTGGGTCCCATTTTTTAAAATTGGTCTTCATTGAGGTCCAAAGGGTCCAAAATTAAACTTAGTTTGATTTTAACAAAAATTGAATTCTTAGGGTTCTTTGATATGCTAAATCTAAACATGTGTTTAGATTTTTGATGGGCCCAGTTTTTTGAAGTTGGTCCAAGTTGGGGTCCAAATAAACTTTTTTTGATTTCAACAAAAATTGAATATATGGGGTTCTTTGATATGCTGAATCTAACCATAAATTTAGATTTTTTATTTGTGGGCCCCGCTATCAAATTGGTTCATATTGAGGTCAAAAGGGTCCAAAATTAAACTTTGTTTGATTTCATCAAAAATTGAATTATTGGGGTTCTTTGATATTCCAAATCTAACCGTGTATTTAGATTTTTAATTTTAAGTCCCGTTTTTTAAATTGGTCTACATTAAGGTCCAAAGGGTCCAAAATTAAACTTAGTTTGATTTTAGCAAAAATTGAATTATTGGGGTTCTTTGATATGCTGAATCTAAACATGTGTTTAGATTTTTGATTATGGGCCCAGTTTTCAAGTTTGTCCAAGTTGGGGTCCAAAATTAAACTTTGTTTGATTTCAACAAAAATTGAAAATATGGGGTTCTTTGATATGCTGAATCTAACCATGTATTTTGATTTTGGACATTGGACCATAATAGGTAAATTAAAAAAATTCAAGTTCTTAGACCACATTCTTTCTGTGTCAGAAACCTATGCTGTGTCAAATATTTAATAACAATCCAAATTTAGAGCTGTATCAAGCTTGAATGTTGTGTCCATACTTGCCCCAACTGTTCAGGGTTCGACCTCTGCGGTCGTATCAAGCTGCGCCCCAGCGAAGCATTTTATTTTAAGACTGTATAACCACAGGCACTTGTCACTGAAAAAAATAACTATATACCTCAATATAAAATTTAGATATATTGTTAAATTTATATCAGAGACAAGTGCCAGTGTGTATAACCAATGAGTAGGGTATATTCTAAACCAAAACTGCAATACTTGAGGAGTCAATTTGTCCCAAATCTTTCCTTTCCCTTCTTTGGAAGTCTGCACATTTTTGTCATGTATGTTGTATATGTAACTCTATGTGAAATCAAAATATGTGTATTGGCATTGCAAGTTTGCACTTTTTTCTTTTCTTTTTCATGTCTTTAGAAATTATTTATTTTCAGTGGGAGAACAGAAACTGGTTAACAAACAAACATGACCATGCAGCTTACCTAAGAGATCGATACATCACAGGCAGTGAATTTATACCTAAAGTAAGTAATATCATGAAGTTCCATAAAGATTTATTTCCTTTAAGCTTTATGGAAAATAATGGTTTTTGTTATTTTCAACAAACTGCTAAGTATGCACACAATATGTATATGTACATGTATATAAGTTCCTCCCAGCTGATCTTTTAAAAAGCATGACCACTAGATTCAATATTATTTAACTGATTGATATAAAGATAGGAAGATGTGGTATTAATAATAATAACTGTATTATTGCCAATAAGACAAAATGATGTAGATGTTAGCAACTAAATAAAACTGTATGGCCTTCAATGATATGAAAACACATAGTGCATAGCAAGATATAAAAGGCCCCAACATGACTTCACTAATTCCTATTCCTTGAAATTAGTGTTTGCACTTTTTTTTAAGGCAAAGAAGGTTGCTATCTACCTACATGTAGATATAATAGGTAGGATAACTGCTTGTTTGCCTTTGAGAATTTAATGGTCAGTTCATCCCATTGGTACAAATATATTAAAGATTTTCTAGAAGCTATGCACTTTCAGATTGCTTAAAGGTGACTAGGTCATATAATTTTTCAACATTCACTTTGAATTCATTTCTTTAAATGAATTTAGCAGGCGGAGACATAGAGTTGAAGGTGTCTAGAAATAAAAAATCTTAATTTTCAGTACCAGTGTATTTCTATAGAAAAATAACTGAAACATTGCCAAACCTTAAAAAACTTCTCAAACACACACTATGTTTTACAGAGTAGTTATCATCCTTTCTTTTATACAACTAAAATGATTACTTTCAAAATCCCTCATTATTGTGTGCTTTTATTTATCTGTAAATGATTTAATTTTGGATGTAACACGTCTTCTGATTGGCTGAAAGTATTTTGTCTATCAGCTCATAGACATAATTATGTCATGTGACCGTGATGTCAACGGTTTTTTTCATGATTTACTCCATAAAAATGGAATTTATAATTAAATTATAAGGAATGACAGTAATATTTTTTCTGTCTATTCGAAATAACCTAAAAAAATGTGGTGCACACTTTTAAATAACCTGCTATGCAGGTTATTCATTGTGCACCACATTTTTGAAATTGTTTCTTCATAGATATAATTTATTATATCAAAATTATTTTCCAAGTAAAAATATAAATATTTTTTATGTCTTTATTTGTTGTCTATGACAAAGAGAATTTACCATGATATTGTTTTTGCAGGGATTAGAGGCCATTCCAGATGAAGAAAAATGAACAGTGGAAAATAGACTTATAGATTGAACTTGTGTACATTTGTTCCTATTTGTATTTAAAAAAACATTGGGCAGTAAATATGATAACATGAATTATTTTCAACCTCTGAATCTTGTTAATTGGGCTTTTGTAGTCATTTTGTCTCTGTCATTGTAAAACTTTACACAAATCTTCTTTGAATCTATGAGAATCACTTAGTCATTTTTCCTGACCTTCACTCCATTTTCACAATCCAAATAGCGTGTTGTTTTCTGGATAAGATCTGTTACTCAGTTGTTGGTCAAAATATTTGATTTGTGGAATAGTTATGAGTAATATATGGCGTTGACCTGATTTTAACATTCCTTTGGTCAATTTCATTAAAATGAGAAGGGATATACATCAATCAGAAGACAAGAGAACAACAGAAAAAAAAACAAAAGGCATCTAGAGGTAATTATACTGTCTTTACCAATAGACAAATGTCTGTACAATATTCTTTAAGCAATCTCTAAATCCCCTCAAGTAAAGAATAGTTTTGCATTAATTGAATAAGGACTGTTCCAGAACTAATTGTATAAGGGGGACAAAAGGCACTTTAATTAAAATTTGATGGATGGTGGTTAGTTTAGAAAGAAAATCTGAACAATTATGGGAAATAATTTGTTAACATTTTATGCATGGAACTAAACGTATGATGGCAGGGTAAAATAAAAGGGTATTCAAACCCATCACCCATCTACATTAATTTCTAGAACAGCCTTAAGCTGAAAATACCAAAGAACTCTCAGCACTAAATCCTTGAATGACAAAAAACATCAAGATATAACCAAAGACAACCAGCTAGAGAAGTTGATGATATGGAACAAGCACATGCAAATGTTAGTTTGTTACAATATTTTTTTTTAGATCCCAACCCTCCTCCTTTTTAATCTCGATCAGTGGAATTAAAAAAAGATACACGGTAGAGTGTACAGTAAAAATAAATATAGAAAAGACACTTATATAGTACTGGTATTTAATATAAGGTAAACATAAGAACAAGCGCAACAATAACAGACTATATCACATAATTTTACTGAAAGCAAGCTCAAACTACTCTGCCTGCTGATATGAAATTGTACAATCCTACACTGTAATACAGGTAGCTGCACATCAGAGTAAATTTCAAACAGCAATATTGTCATTAAAAGTACACAGGAAAACACCATCTGTTGCAGTGATAAAAGTAAATTTGTTCCGAATAGAAATACAGAAAAAACAAAAGAAACAGTTTTTGTCTCGCCTTGACGGAGTCAAAAAGCGAGACATAGGTATGCTGTTTCCGGTGACGGCGTCGGCATCAACAATGTATTAGTTTGTGATTAGGTCTTAGTTCATGGTGAACCACTAGTGGTAGGTCAATGATATTTGGTATGCAGTTGTATTAGCATTGGCACATCTCATTACCATGAAGATTATTTGGCCCCGCCCCCTCAGTCAAGGTCTATTGACTTTGAAACTTTTCATAGTTTAAATGTAATAGTTAGTGATTAGGTCAATTTATGGGGAACCACTAGTGGTAGGTCGATGATATTTGGTATGCAGTTGTATAAGCATTGGCATATCTCATTTCCATGGAGATTATTTGGCTCTGCCCCCTTAGTCATGGTCTATAGTCTTTGAAAATTTTGCTAAGTTAACATGTATTAGTTTGTGATTAGGTCAGTTCAAGGGAAACCATTAGTGGTAAGCCAATGTTAATTGGTGTTCAGTTGTATAAGCATTAGCACATCTCATTTCCATGGAGAATATTTGGGCCCGCCCCCTCAGTCATGGTCTATTTACTTTGAAACTTTTGCTTAGTTTACATGTATTAGTTTGTGATTATGTCAGTTTAAGATGAACTGCTAATATTAAGTCAATGATATTTGGTATGCAAATTTATTGGCATTTGCAAGTATCGTTTCCATGGAGATTATATAGCCCCACCCCTGATCATGGTTCATTAACTTTGAAACTTTTACATAGTTTACAAGTTAATGTTTGTGTTTAGGTTTGTTTAAAGGAAACGAATTATGATAAGTCAATGGTGTTTGGTATGCAGTTTTATTAGCATTGGCACATCTCATTTCCATGGAGATTGTTTAGCCATGTACCTACAGTCATGGTTCATCGACTTTGAATATTTGCATAACTTACATGTTAAAGTATTGCTATTTTAATTTCAACATTTCCATTATCAAAATTACAAAAAGGCGAGACATATCTCTGTGATAACAGTTTTATCTTCCAAATTATGAGATAGTGAACTGCTGCTCCTCCCCCTCCCAAAAAAAAACAAAAGAAAAAAAACACCAGAGACAATATTTGGACAACAACAGTTTTATAATAACCTTTATTACTAAGTCCATTAAGTATAAAGGAAATGTTTCAAAGCCATTAATATGATCATATCTATTGTATTATATTAAAAAAGACAATGTGAAATAACACTTCTATTAGGATGACCTTTAGGGAATCTTAAGTTATACTTTCCAGTAGCATTTAGGGACTACTTTTGGTTTTTAAAACACGTTACAGAAAAAATCTTAAAGACTTGCGCAAACATATTGCTGGGTTTCACAATGTCTTATTTGTTATGAAGGTGTGCTGAGGTGAATAAGTACAAGTCCATTTCTATGTGGTTACCACGATAACCCATATATAGGGTAGATATAAAATCTCTTTATTTGTAATTAATCGGTAAACATGGTGACGATTTTATGATTTTACTGAGACGTCACTGTAAACATATAGGAAGTTTCAGTGATTAGGCAAGTTTTCAGTACATTGTATCTATAAGAAATAAATAAACTATATTTGGTCAATTGAATCATTGTAATTCACATCCACATTTTCATCGATCAATGCTAAGTTTTGATTGATCAGACCTATATACAGGAGGTTGGGTTCATTCACCTTTTGAAAACCATTAAACCTATGAATTTTTAATGTCCATTTGATTCACTTATACCTCTATTTAACAATTGTTTATCTTAACCGGACCTATATGCAGGAGGAGGGGTGGGTTTACATCCCCTCTATGAACTATTAAGTACCCATACACAGGAGGAGGGATGCGTTCACATCTCCTCTGAAAACCATTAAGTACCCATACACAGGAGGAAGGGAGCATTCTCATCTCTGAAAACCATTAACTACACAAACACAAGAGGAGGGGTGTGTTCACATCCTTTCTGAAAACTATTAAGTACCCATATACAGGAGGAGGGGTGGTTTGCACCCTTCTGAAAACCACTAATACCTATACACAGGAGGAGCATGCATTCACATCCTCTCTGAAAACCATGAATTATTCATACACAGGAGGAGGGATGCTTTCACATCCCCTCTGAAAAGCATTAAGTACCCATACACAGGTATGTTGAAGTTGTGCACCTGCTATTATGGAATTGTTTTAGGAATCTTTTCTCATTTTTCCAGACTTGGGAACTTAGTCACTTTTCAGCAAAATTTATGAGAGAGGGTACAAGTTTTGTGTAATCAACCTCTACAGTTTTCAACCAAGATCCCTAAGACTTCACAGAAAGATTTTACACATGATGAAGTTGTGCACCTGGTTCTATGGAATTGTTTAAAACAAAATCTCATTTTCCGGACATGAAAACTTAGTTATTTTCCAGCTGTTCTTTATCTTGTTAGATATTCAAGAAAAAATGTAATTGCACCTACATAGTAAACATTCTACATTGATTAGTCACAAATAATGCAACCTGCTATTTGAGACTTTGGCCAATTTTTATGATATTCTGTGGCACACTTTAAAAGAAGATGGCAAAATACCAGCAGCTTGTAGAGGATTGCCAGCAGTGGGAATGAAGGACATGGCGCTAGGTTGCAGGGTAGACAATATGTCGAGCTCTCGAAAATTTATGAAAGAGGATACAAGTTGTCTGTACTAATAATCAACTTCTACAGTTTTCAACCCAGATCTCTGAAACTCCACAGGAAGGTTGCACATATGTTGAAGTTGTGCATCTACTTCAGGTTTTTTATATGACCGCAAAAAATTTGCGTTCGTATAATGCTTTCATGTCATCGTCACCGCCGTCGTTCGAAGACACATTTGGTTTCCAGACAATAACTTTAGTTTAAGTGAATGGATCTCTATGAAATTTTACTAGAAGGTTTCAGGTAAATAACTTATGTCTAAGTATTTTGATTGCTCTGAAATTGTACCACAAGGTTCAATACCACAAGTCGAAGGTTGGGATTCATTTTGGGGGTAATTGCACAAACCATTCAGGAATTAGGGGCCAAAAAGGGTCTAAAACAAGCATTTTCTAGTTTTCAGACAAAAACTCGTGTTTAAATGTATTGACGTCTCTTAAACTGCACCACATTTTACAAAAAGAAAATTTTCTTCAAATGTTATTTCTGTTGGAAAAGGGGAGGGGGGGGGGGGGGGAGATTAAAAAAAAAATTAAGGAGGAGGTAAAAACAAAATTTTTTTTTTGGGGGGGGACAATTTTTTATCCTCGAGATTTAAGAAATTAAAAAGATTTTTTTTTTTTTGTGTGGAAAAAGGGGGGTGGGAGTCAATTTTTTCTGCAAGATTTAAGAAGTTGTCAATTTTCCAAAGAAAATTATGGGGTCACAATTGCTAATTCTTTGTATTTAGTCTGAAAACAGATTTACTAAGTAATGCCCAACATCAAAGTGCACAGTGTATTGCACAAAAGCAAGAAATCTTCAATTGAATATAAATTCAAATCATATTACCAATTTTAAGTTCTTTGACTATTTATTCTGTATCAGAAACCTATAATGTGTCAAATATTCAATTACAATCCAAATTAAGACGTGTATCAAGCTTGAATATTGTGTCCATTTTTGCCCCAACTGTTCAGGGTTGGACCTCTGCGGTCGTATCCAGCTGCGCTCGGCGAAGCAGTTTATTAATACTGTTGAATTTTTAACCGGATTTTCGAAGTAAAAATCTGTTATAGATTTGGCGATGTATGGCGGGCGGGCGGCTGCCAAACAGTGTTTGTTCATTTACATGAAAACGCTTCGAAGAAATTTTTTCAAATTTAATTATGTTGTTTCCTGTGACTAAATAAAGGTCAAG